TCCATTATTCCATATGAACTATACAATAATATACGGAGTATGTTATATGTATATTAGTGAACTCATAGAGAATCTAGAGTTTCGCTAACTCAGTAGCTAAAATTCCATTGCATTATAGTGGGCCAACCACTAATTAAGCCTACAAATATTAAAACATTTTTATATTTGATTATTTTCCTTATTTTATGTTTTAATATTTCTATGTATATTGTGTATATGTATGAAAAATTATAACTATAATTATATCATCATGGATAGGGTCCAAAACGGACCGGAACTTAAAAATCCATATCCGACCCTTTTTCTCTATCATGTAATGGGTTCGGATCCAGATCCGGGAAACGATTCTAAATTTAAACTCATACCCTTAAATAAAGTGTCGGATTTGGCTCGGATCTGGGTATAGACTCGACCCGTTGACAGGCCTATACCTAGCCTTCCTCTTATTTTGTTGGTCAGTGAGAGTGTAATAGGAGGGAAATTAGAGTGTACGATGCTAGGATCTTAGCTAGACTTGCTCACTTTGAAATTGATCGTACGTGTGGGACTAAGATTTGATAAAGGTTCTTGGGGCAGGTTCTCACACACTCACACAAATGATCAGGAGCAAATTCAGGAATCTGGATTGGACTAATATGAACCGTAATTATATTAAACCTAAATAAACCTAACAGGTCTGGTCCTGACATTTTATGGGTCCGAGACAGGACAAATAGACTGGGCCCCAGGGATAGTGGGGGAATGTTTATAATATTTTTTTGCTTTAATAATCTATAATTTAATACTCCCTCCGTCCCCGATATAACTTTCCGGTTTGACCTGCACACATATTAGAGTTGTTTCCTAAATTATTACCAATACAAAAAGAGATATTACCCGAAATAGGACTAAAAAAGTTTGAAAATTCCAAAATAGGACTTCCATGTTTTTATTTCCAAAATAGGACTAATTACTGTCATGTTTTGGCAGTACCAGACTTCAAACATGGCAGTATTTTCCAAATTTGGCAGTAATTAGTCCTATTTTGAAAAAAAAAAAACATGACAATCCTATTTTGGAATTTTCAAACTTTTTTAGTCCTATTTCGGGAACTTTCCCATACAAAAATCATGGACAAAAATGTGATTTGGTAACTTATAGTTACTATACTTGTATTCAAAGTTTACATCATGATCACTAGATCATAGTAACTTTGAACATAATTATAGTAACTTGACACGTATTTGATGCGTGTTGAGATCGGCTTTTGATGATTTTCTTAGTTTTAAGGTGTTACAAGTCTCAATTTTAGCTCAAGTTAGGTTTACCGGGCGTTGGTTCGAGTTTTGTGTTGTTTGTAGTCAAAATCAGGGAATTTGAGCCCGGGCACCGGCACTTGAGGAACAATCGGGATGATTTGAGAAGCATTTGAGAATGATTTGATAGCTTTGGAGGTCACCGGAAGATACACGATGAAGATTTGAAGGAAAAAGAGCTCTAGGATTGGCTTCGGGATCAAAACAAGATGAATGAAGCTTGAAAACGACGATCAGGATGACCTTCTGTCAATCATTCAAGCATATCTCTTTGTAGAAACATCCAATGTATACGATTCAAGTTCCATAGGAAAGCCACTTTCAAGGGATACAAATCATATGAACACACCTTTGCGAGAATTTGAGAGGAAGAAGGTGAAAACAGACGATGAAGTCAGATGATCTCTGCTGCGATTTCAGAAAGACACCTTCCACCGTTTTGATCATATCTCTTGATTGGATGATTCAAATCACATTCGGCAAATTGGGGTGGATAGAGTACTGCATTATCTACAACTTTCATGAAAGAAGTTTTGTCAAATTCGGAAGTTACATAGGCACGATCGTGCCCTCAAAGTCAGATACGATCGTGCCTGAAGAGAAAAGCACAGCGGAGTTACTGCCAGCCAGGCACGATCGTGCCTGGAGGGAGGCACGATCGTGCCTGCCCAAAATGCGTGTTTTTGCTCCGGAGGCACGATCGTGCCTGGAATCGTGTCTGACTCCGAAAATCCCAATTCAGCTCAAATTTGACCCGATTTTTCTATTTAAACAGCCTGTAAACCCCCGTTTTCAAGGGGGAAGCTTAGAGAGAGTGCCTAGCACGAATTCTAGAGGGCTTTTCAGCCTTGTTCATCAATCTTTTGGGACTCTTTGTAAGTTCCACCTTTTTAATTAATGACAATTAATTCTTTTTATTCTAATTCTATTGATTCTTCAATTATGAATTGTGAGTAGTTTTAATTAGGGATTTGGGATTGATGAAGGGGTTAATCATGATGTATGGCTAGATTCTTTTCGGTTTAATTACATGAATGCCGTTTAATTTGTGTTTGAATAATTTAATTGATATCTTTTGTAACCTAGAATCGCGACGAGAATTACAATTGCATGTAGAATAAATTAAGAGAGATCTAATTTGTTCTAGGACACATTCACACACACTTAATCGTTCGCTAAGAGATTAGTAGCGATTAAGGGGCCGTAAGCTCGCTCGTCTTGGCAATAATTTAGGATCCTGTCGCATGAGAGATCAGCCTGGTCCCCTAAATTATTGTACTCTACGCCGCGAGAGCGGTAAGAACTTAGTAATGATTAGCTAGGCTCAATTAAATTAATTTCATGTAATTAGGCCTGATCTGCCAGAAATCTGGTTACCCCGGAATCGATCCATGTTCCATTCGTCATTAATTAGAAAGAACCCCCTAGTTTAATTGTTCGCATTAGTTTAATTTTCCAACCTTAATCTCGCACGACGCATTTATTTTATTTTCTTTTTAATCGCTGAATTTAGTTAATTCTTAATTCCCTTTTGTCCGTCCCTGTGGAGACGATACTCGTACTTACACCAGTATATTACAATCTTTTTAAGTGCGAGAAAACACACATCATAACTAAAAGTTACCAAGTCAATTTTTTGTCCGTAACTCTTAAAAGACTAGTAATATTAGTGAAATTTTATCCGCATATTAAGGAAATAAACTTACTAGGGGGTAAATTTTACTATTTTGACACTGTTTGACACTGTTTTACACTAGATAACTTTCCATTTAAGAAAATGGGAAGTTAAATTAGGGACATCTAAATAAGGAAAACATGTGGTTAGAAAATATATCTTGTATAAGGAGTAACTTTTTCATATTTTAAATCACATTTTCACTAGGCAAAAACAAATTCTACGATTCTAAATTATGGACATGACACTAAAGTTCAATCTTTCACTAAATATATCAATAAATTATGGATATATATAAGACGTGTACACTAAAAGAATAAAATTAATGTAACAATCTGTAATGATTCAAAAGAAATGATGAAATATATTCCCAATGAATTCTAATGTGGATGTTTCAAAATTATAGACTTGTATTATGTAGATTAACCTAAATACGAAAAATCATACACTAGGAAAAAAATTAAGTAGGTGTGTGCTTTAGCCCGCCATATTGATCTTCCCCTGCAAACAACTTCCTTACAAATTATGCTCTTTTTTGACGAATTTGTTGCGTACAAAAAACGTACAAAATGGCATATAAACGCATTTTTTCATTGATCCATTTGTGGAATCTCCCACCCCGAAGCCTCCCACGCCCCGACCTGACAGGGCAGATGAGAGGATGTAAATCACGACGACTCAATCGGCGGAGTGGCAGTAGGCTCATATGCCCGTGCACGCCAAACGTGAAACGTCCAACCTATTTTGGAGGTTGTGGCCTCCACACGGTCGCTGCGGGGACTCGAACCTAGATTCCTTGATCTAATTTTCCATCACTCAACCGACTGATGAGCTACCCGTGCAGGTATAAACGCATTTTCCCAAGATTCAAACCAAGATTTTCACGTACACGGTTTGAGCCAAAATCCTATCACCCCAACAAGTTGATTAATTATATTCAAAACAGGTGAATGACCGTTGACGGCATTAATTCATACTGAATTTGTTTACTAATTAGCACTACTTTGATGACTTCTTCTTATCGTACATTATTAGATCGATAAAGGTTGACTTTAGAAGCAGAGCAGTCGCAATGACGCGTATATGTCATTTTTTGGACTACCAATTCAATACTTGATATATATGGTCGGAGTGCTAGCTATAAATCAAATTACATTATTGACGTGAGGATCTCTCCTACAGTCGATCTCACACATGAATGATACAAGTATTAAGTAGTCATAAATATATGTAACTTAATTGGTTATCGTGACAATGAAAGCTGTTTTGTATGTTATGGTGTTAATCTTGGTTCACGGTTTGGCACTCGATAATGGAAACAAGATAATGAGGATGAGCTATGGCGCCGTCGTCGTGAAAGCTACGCCGGCAGAGGAGGAGGCGGTGATGATGATTAGCCCATCATCGCACAATGAGGAGGAGTACGAACAATCATCAAGAGCGCTACCGGGGACATGGTACCAATCTCCGCAGCCCTATGGATCCCATCGTCAGGGTGGTGCGACGGCGCCACCACCTTCTTCTTACGTCATGGCCGCCGCGTCAAAACTCTATCAGCCAGGCCCGCCACGCCGCCGCCTTCTACTCTAGCTAGTTCAATTCATCTCCGCATATCAGCTTTTTTTCAAAGTTTTCGAGTTTGTTTGCTGCATTTGATAATAAGCTAACTTAGCTGCTTCAAATTTTATATGCAATATATATGTATGCGTAGACTGTAGACTACTCCGATCAGTATTATCTATCATGATACTCTTTGAAAAATGTTGTACCTCAACTCACAATACATCATTTTTATTTTCTACTACTCATAGTGAATTAACACACTAATCAAGATGTACGTTGTACTCCATTCTTGACTAAATTATACTACCTCCGTTCCACCAAGATTGAAACAATTAGGTTTACGATGCTTGACCGATGATAAAACAAAAAAAATTACATGTTCAGAAACTACATTAAAAGCTTTACAAAGTCGCAAAAACCAGAATCAAATTTGATAAAAATTTGATATATAAAGTAAGAAATTAAGAGTGATTTATGTCGACCGAGTAAATAGTGTCTGAGACAATCTTAGCGAGACGGAGAGAGTAGTAGTATTTCAAAGTATAGTTGTGAGGAGATTAAAATAGTGTATATTGTGTGACGAAGAATTGTGTAGAAGAGGGAAAAATATGTAAAAATGTTGTAAACTCAAATGCACAAGTAGGACTATAAATTTTTAATTCCCTATATAAGACTTCGGATTAATTATCATTGATGTGGACATATAAAATTATTGGGCCAATTGTCATGGCCATTGGACTCCTTGTAAATATTATCGGGCTATTCTCAACTTTATTGAGCTTCTTTTAAATGTTATTGGGCTTATTTCAATTCCGATTGGATTATTCGTGATGGTTGTTGGGCCGTAGCAAATGCAAAATATTAAGATGGGTCTATTCGGATAAAATTTAGTGATTAAATTAATTTGAATCATTTAAAACAACAAATTGATTTAATTTTAAATCAAGTCTTTAAAAGAATGGGTTGATCCTTTTAAAATTCAATTCCTTAATAAATCCTCTATTTTTTCTTCCAAAACAAATCCTCTATTTTGGGTCCAATATTAAAAAGTGGCCCAATATATAAGATACATGGCCCAAGTCATGAAGCGAGCAATTAATCTAGTTAAGAATTCCACCCAAATGCATGGAAAGTAGTTATGAACCTTGTTAACAAAGTTGCCTAGATACATCGCACAAGTGCTGATTTTTCTAGCTATGAAAATGCAAGTAAATTAAGCTCAAAGCCCATTTCAATAGAGACCCTACAGATATGGATGAATTACTCAAACCCTAAAACATATTTCATCTCTTCCACATCTATAAATAGGGGTCTCAATTGAGAAGGAAAGGGGAGACTTCCGGAATAAGAAAACATTGCCAAGTGACTTTCACGCGCGTTGTAATAATCATACACGACTATTACCCTTGATTATTAATTAATAAGTACTACACGTCTACATTGTCTTGGTAAACTCCCCTTATTTGTCTAAAACATAGAATGATAGAAGGCAAGATCAAACCTATTTGGATGGGTAATGTCGGCTACCCTATATCTCATCTTGGCTTTACAGATGACCTACTTATTTTAATTTATTAATGGGGAGTCTCGATCACTATTGAATTTCAAGAAATTTATTGAAGGCTATCAGATTGCCTCAGGACAGACTGCTAACCTAGATAAAAGCTCTTTATTTGCGGAAAACCGGCTTTGGGCAAAGTGAATATTATAAAAAACTTGTCGGGGATGAGGAACTCTGACAATTAGCTTATTGCTTGGAAACAGAAGCACCTTACTCGGGGGGGGGGGGGGGGGGGGGGGGGTAATTTTGATTAGACATGTTCTGAACTCTATCCCTTTACATATTCTGGTTGTGGATCTTTTTCCCAGAAAAGTGATTAATATTCTTGAGAAGAAGATGGCAGCATTCCTTTCGGGGTCATCTAATGACAAGCAAAAAACTCACTGGGTTAAATGTTCTGATCTTTGTTACCCAACTGAAGAAGGGGGTGGGGTATCAGGTCTTTGTCTACAATTCAAAAGGCTTTCTCTATGAAAATCTGGTGGAAATGGAAAACTCATATATGAAGCTCATTCTTCAAAGCTAGATATCCCAAAGAAGATATGAATGTTAAAGTCACCGACTCAGCCATTTGGAGGAGGATATGCTTCAAAGCTAGAACAATTCACATTATCCACTGTTTACAATGAACTAAGAGAGGTTCTTTCCCATACTTTTACTCATAGGCATATTAGGCATAAAACCCAACCAATGCAAATTAAGATCTTTATTTGGAAGCTTCTTCATAACTGCATGCCTATTACCGATAATCTGCGGAGATTTAATTTGGTCATAAGGCCTTCCAGGTGTCCTATGTGCATGAATAATTTTGATACAATAAACCATCTCTTCTACCAGTGTTCTTTATCAAAACAGATATGGAGTTATTTCATGAATATATTTCACATACCTATTCCAAGACGTCAGCCATAGGTCAGACAAATATTTATACAATGGTGGTTGGAGGCTGGTTCTAAGACTATGGGAGATCTATTCAAGCACAATTTACCAGGTATTATCTGTTGGTTCATTTGGAAGGCCTACTCTGCGCATACATGGGGTACAGTTCCCATACCAACGAAAAAAGTTTTGATTTATCAGATTAAACACCACACTCAACCCTGGTCAGCTAATTTCTCTAAAATGAAGCAAAGAAGAATTGAAACTTATCTGATTCAGGAGGGGATGATTGCTCATAACTTCACTTATGGAAGACCGATGTTCCATCGATGGAAACGACCACAGGGTGAGTATAAGTTAAATGTTGATGCCTCATTCTCCTATGACAGTTCGGCAGGGGGTGCCATTTTCAGAGACAAATTAAAGGGGGGAGATGATTTGGGCGATACAATTTCCAATCAGTGCTAACTCCAGTCAGGAAGCTGAAGGGCGGGCTGTGCTTTTTCCGATTAGAATGGCTATAGAGCTTGGTTTGTTAATCAAAATAAAAGCTTCATTGACTAAACTGTGAACTGCAAACTTCCCCCAAAAATCATTGCTAATCCAGGGATGAGTAAGTCATTTTCAAACTGAGTACTAATTTAATTTCACACATGAGGCAGTTCAATGTTCTCATACACGTTTTTAATTGCAACATTGGTATAATCCCCTACTTCATTAGGTTTCAGATTGTGTTGGCTATTCAAAGACTATAAAGCATTTCAATAAGTTAATAGAAGATTTCGAATATATCATAGAAACAACTCTTAAAAAATGAAAAATTGAAACCAAACCTGTTTTTCTCTCATTGAAACAATGGATTAAAATTGATAAATTGAATAAGAAACCTGTTTATTCTCTCATTGAAATTGCTTGACAATATCAAAGTATAAAATATCCAGGTAGAAGAGTTATTTTATGTATAAGACTTCGAGTATACCATAGAAATAGTCGATTAAAATTGATGACTGAAACCAAACATGGTTTTGCTGGAGTCGTTTGTCATTGATCCCAATAAACCAGTAACTCTATTAGATTGAAATACATGGCTCTACTCCTACTAGTTATTTTGAGTCAATTTTATATAATACCGTTAGTACTATTATATTGAACTACATGGCTCTGCTCCTACTTTATTAATACCAGTAAGTGCAAAATGCTTTTAATATCACCTTTTTTACTGAAAAATAGTCATCCATTCAACCTTTGAAACTAATAACTCCTCCATAGAGTCATTGAACTTTGTAAAACAACCAAGGTTAAGATCTTTGTCCGTAACCTACTAAAACTATATTGCATAATACTCATAGAACTATCTACAGTCATAGACCAAGTATGATAGATAGCGGGAAGAGTATGGGGCAGGACCGGGCTTGGGCCCACTTCCGTGGGCCGGTTACGGGTTGTCTTTATAATTTATTTATTATTATTAAATGTTATGTTTTGGTTTGGGCCTATTATTGTAGAGTACTTAGTAGAGTTAGTATGAGCCTAATTAGGATTTAATTAATTTGGGCTTGATTAGGGTTTCTTGTAGAAGGCTATTCATACCCCTCGCCAGGGTTCATTCTTGTTATCTTGGAATAAAATTGGTTTTAGCCTATTGGCTTTGGACAACGGTATATTCGGTTGATTTTATTTTTTTCTGCTTCATAACAAAGTATTATTACCTTATGAAGCAAATGAGGGAAAACATTGAATAAACTCACAATCTATGCATTTTGATGTGAAACTAGTAATTCCACCCGTGCTACGCACGGGAGTGAAGATGTTTGGATAAATCATACTCCCTCCATCCCAAAATGGTTGGCCAATATTGACTTGCACGTTGATTAACAAAGTACAAATTGTATGGTTGAAATTTGTGCAGATAAGAGAGAATTAAATTTAGCCACATATTCCTTACTTTAAATGGAAGTGACAAACCTTTTTTGGACTGCCATTTCGGCATTTTGGGTCGGATGGAGTACATAAACTCAAAGAATTTCATAGTTAATTAAGCAGTGTCAGACACTCGGACTCGATACCAGACCGGGTCTATCCCACCTCATATTTGAGGAAATCTCTTATGTTCCACCCATGATTGGATAATTTTTTCTTTGAAGTAAAGAGTGAGTTTTTAACTAAAATCCTATTTTATTGAAAAGATTGCAAGAGAAATCATACAATTTTTTTTTAAGCAGCAAATTGTCCCTAAGAAAAATTCATCATCATCATCAATAAGAAAAGACTAAAACAACACTTCAGTGGCTTGAAAGTTTACTTTAAATTAAATTAATTTATCCCATAAAGGATGAAGACCCTATAGAAGATAAATAATACCGAGTACATGGTAAATGTTGGCTACCACTTTAGATTAACTTAGTTACAAACATTTCCATTCTCAGGTTTTGAAGAACTAATATGGTTTGGTAGCAAATCCACTATTATAAAGAAATTAGGAGTTTCCTTATAAAATAGACTATGAAAATAAAGACGGCCTAAAAGTTCTTTATATTATTAAAAAACACGTTAACAACTATTGAATAGCTGATTTGCAAATAGATTAGAGTGCAGCGTGAATAAAAACGTTCTAATTAGTTTTACCAACGGTGGACCATTAATTTTCCCATTGTTACATTGGCATATTCTCTTAGTTCTGGTATACAAAACCAAGTGGTTAATGGATTCTTTTCAAAAATAAGGTGTGACAGTTCTCTTCATCTGACAAAGTATGGGTTGTACTTAAAGTTCAATTTCTAAATTCATACAAACTAATGACCATAAAGAGAACTGAGCCACTATGAGCCTCACATGGTAAAATTTTGGCAAAATACCCCTGACTTCCATCATCACTCTATTTTCAAATATCTTACTCTTCCATATGTCGTCATGTCCTCTCCACACAACCTCATTTTGAAGCACTGCCTACCAGTCATGGTGTGGATGGGGTCTCACTTGATTCACACAATAGCTAGTGTTGAATTTTGCTTCATTTCCTCATCTAGAGAAACACCATATATATATATATATATATATATATATATATATATATATAGAGTAGTCTTCCTGTCCAGCCGGCCTGACGGGAACCGCCGTCCGGCCGAGGGCATTTCGGGCACTTCCCGGTGGAATTTTTTGATGAAATGTTTTGAGCATGTTCTTCATGAAGTCTAGTTTATGCATACCAAATTTTAGATAAAAATTCAATCGGGAAGGCAGTCAAATAATTTGTTGAAGTTAACTGCGCAGTTTATATGTATGAACTGCCCAGTTAACTTCAACAAATTATTTGAGTGCCTTCCCGATTGAATTTTTAGCTGAAATTTGGTATGGATAAACTAGACTTCATGAAGAACATGCTAAAAAAATTTCATCAAAAAATTCCACCGGAAAGTGCCCGAAATGCCCTCGGCCGGACGGCGGTTCCCGTCAGGCCGGCTGGACATGAAAAGTTGTCTATATATATATATATATATATATATATATATATATATATATATATATATATATATATATATCCCCAAGTTCGAATCACAAACCTCACACAATTAGGATCGGCAAACAACTTTGACTACAAATAAATTCACGAAATATATTAAATCGACTAAAGGAAGCATATTAAATCAAATTGAAGATTTATAGAAAAAATGACTGAAATTACCTTTAGAGGATGAAGCAATGTCATAAAGATACATTGACTCTAAATGTTAAATCTAGATTTAAACTTCATGGAAAAATCGCTACTATTGTACATGTTTTGTTCCTTTTAACAGTTAAGTTCAAGTTCATCACTACTGTGTTTCATCCTTATAAATATATAAACAAAATTGGGTGCAAATCATTCCAAAAAGATTAGATGGGGAAACATTTAAGAATAATCCAATGGGCAGGTTACCTATACATGTATTTGAAATTCAAAATCAAAGTAAACTTGCAAATCTTCTTCACAACATCGAAAAAATCAATCTAAAAAAATACAAAGTGAAGAGTCAAACGAAGTAAATACGGGCAAGTTTTGCTACTTGTTAGGTTTTTTCTATCAATATCGACTGCTGTGGGTATTGTTAACAAACTGCCACTAACATTTCTTTAAGGCTAATAAAAAACAGTGTGCACTACCTCAAGCTGGCAACAACTAAAGATTCGTGTACTTCTTTTAGTTGATTCTTGATTGTTTTAGTGCAGCAAAAATGTTATTCATAGTTTGTAAGAAGGTTGAAAAGCTGCGGGTGATGTATATTTCTTCTATTGGCTGAACTAATCGACTTTTTGTTTCTTATTTCTTACCCTCATCAAGCTACTGCCAGCTGCTTTGAAATAATTTAGAAAATAAAAATAAACTGTTTGGAAAACATAGCTACTGCACCAATTCCAAATCACATGAACCAGTAAAAGATTTCAATGAGACATGAAGGGAAACAATGAAATCATTCATGCCAAGTTAAACCTAAATGGGAAAAAACAGAGTTCCAATTCAAGCACTAAAACCAGCAAAATACTAACCAAATATCATAAACCAAAGCTTTGAAATCAACTCCAAGGGACAAAGTAGTAACTGCAAGTCTTTCGTGTTACCCTATAATATAAAAAGTGAGAGTGAAGAGAGTTTAAGGTCCTTTGATTAAAATTGGTTAGCAAAATGCTCAATGAAATTGGAAGTATTATCCAAATATCTAAACCAAATCATGAATTAGAAAAAAAATCTCAACCAATATTGGTCATATAGAAGATAAAATACAGAAGACAGAACGGTAGCAAGCATATAGAAAATGTAGTGTATGTTTGTATAGAGCATTGAACATTAATAGTTAATAACCTTTTCAAAGATTGTGTGTCAATACTTTTTTATTTTTCTCTACTGGAGCTTTAGAAGAATAGAAGACAGAAAATAAAAAACAATGAAAATGAAAGCAATACTGACCATCTTCACTCATACATTAGAAAAACCAAAAGCCAATAACAAAAGAAAGATTAATAAGATGAATCATCTTACAAAAACGAAGGGTTGCAGCTCCTTAATGAATATGGAATTAAGAACATGAAAAAGTGGCCTGTAATAGTATGAGTTATAAGTCGAAAATGGAACCACTTAAGAGTACTTATAATAGTTCTAACAATAAATTAGAAAAGTAGAAAACACAGAAAACACTCACAAGTTCTTTTAGCCTTTCTTGCTTTGTCATCTCTATAACAGGCCGATATGCAGCGGTAGTGCAAAATATCTGTTAGGGGAGATTGCAAAATATTTCAGCTATTAAACATGTTTGTAAGCATCTACAACACCATGTAGCCGTTGAGGAACATAGTAGTACTTCACTGTCCAGTGTCCACAATAACACCAATATAATAGCACTTGAAATCATGTTTCAGAAAGTTCTACATAAATAGAATGGGAATGGCTGTAGATAATTTAGATAATATATTGATAAGAACTTCTGGACAGGAATTTTAAATTAGTACTTCAAAATGTGTTTGAGAAAGTTCTAAAAAATGAATGAGAATAGCTGCTAAGAATGCAAGAACCTTTGGATAGAAATCCCCTTATTCACCTGCACTTTGACAAAGTTGAGAGAGTGTAGGCATGAACAAAAGAAAAGTCTACTGAAATTAGTATCTTGCACTCTTCCTGAAGGGCGGGCTGTGCTTTTTCCGATTAGAATGGCTATAGAGCTTGGTTTGTTAATCAAAATAAAAGCTTCATTGACTAAACTGTGAACTGCAAACTTCCCCCAAAAATCATTGCTAATCCAGGGATGAGTAAGTCATTTTCAAACTGAGTACTAATTTAATTTCACACATGAGGCAGTTCAATGTTCTCATACACGTTTTTAATTGCAACATTGGTATAATCCCCTACTTCATTAGGTTTCAGATTGTGTTGGCTATTCAAAGACTATAAAGCATTTCAATAAGTTAATAGAAGATTTCGAATATATCATAGAAACAACTCTTAAAAAATGAAAAATTGAAACCAAACCTGTTTTTCTCTCATTGAAACAATGGATTAAAATTGATAAATTGAATAAGAAACCTGTTTATTCTCTCATTGAAATTGCTTGACAATATCAAAGTATAAAATATCCAGGTAGAAGAGTTATTTTATGTATAAGACTTCGAGTATACCATAGAAATAGTCGATTAAAATTGATGACTGAAACCAAACATGGTTTTGCTGGAGTCGTTTGTCATTGATCCCAATAAACCAGTAACTCTATTAGATTGAAATACATGGCTCTACTCCTACTAGTTATTTTGAGTCAATTTTATATAATACCGTTAGTACTATTATATTGAACTACATGGCTCTGCTCCTACTTTATTAATACCAGTAAGTGCAAAATGCTTTTAATATCACCTTTTTTACTGAAAAATAGTCATCCAGTCAACCTTTGAAACTAATAACTCCTCCATAGAGTCATTGAACTTTGTAAAACAACCAAGGTTAAGATCTTTGTCCGTAACCTACTAAAATTATATTGCATAATACTCATAGAACTATCTACAGTCATAGACCAAGTATGATAGATAGCGGGAAGAGTATGGGGCAGGACCGGGCTTGGGCCCACTTCCGTGGGCCGGTTACGGGTTGTCTTTATAATTTATTTATTATTATTAAATGTTATGTTTTGGTTTGGGCCTATTATTGTAGAGTACTTAGTAGAGTTAGTATGAGCCTAATTAGGATTTAATTAATTTGGGCTTGATTAGGGTTTCTTGTAGAAGGCTATTCATACCCCTCGCCAGGGTTCATTCTTGTTATCTTGGAATAAAATTGGATTTAGCCTATTGGCTTTGGACAACGGTATATTCGGTTGATTTTATTTTTTTCTGCTGCATAACAAAGTATTATTACCTTATGAAGCAAATGAGGGAAAACATTGAATAAACTCACAATCTATGCATTTTGATGTGAAATTCCAGCTTAAAAAACAAATCTATAAAAGATGGTTAATCAGGACTGCTTAGTAACAGCTAGTAATGAAAGATATCAATATTTCCTATGCAGACTAGGAGACTTCCATTAATAGAAATAACAACCTTAACAGAACCTAAAGGCAGGCGAACAAACTATATATTTAGCAGCATTTATTTCCACTAAAGTGATAGTAAATGGAAAATATCCAGTCTTATTTCACTACCTATTTCAGGAAAGTTCTTGTAAAACCACTATCCATATGGTCAATTAAAATCAGATAAGAAAGCTGTTGGATCTCTCTCTTAAATCATTCTTATTGTTGGTGTAAATGCCCTACTTGATTTTATACTTATGCATTTCAGCAATTCATTCTTGTCGCGATTAAAGTTCATGAGAAAAAACATAATCCTTAGATTTTTTTATTGAATGAAAAGTATGTACAAACAGCAAACTTTAATTGAAAAGGGCTAAAGAACTAAGAACAAAACACCGGAATGGGCTATGAGTAATAAAATAAAATCCAGGTAAGGTGGGCTCGATCCTTCTGTGCTAATAGCTCCAAGCCCGACCTAATGTCAAACATAATAGGGCCAAAGGATAATGTCGGAATAGTCAGCAGGTTTGGTGCATTTCTTCATCGAATCATCCTCTCCGGTCATCCAGCATCACGGAAAAGGGTAGATCCTTTCTTGTCTTCATAATAGGCTCTCCTAGCTTTGGAGGGGAGATCATTTAGTGTGTAGGGTTGCATGGACTGGAGAAGAAGACCTGATCGAGCGATATAGTGGGCAGAAGTGGAGGCCGTGCCTTAACCGATTGATATTCACCAAAGGTCTTGCCAGATAATCCTTAGATCTTTTAAGAGAAAAAATTTCAATTCAGTACACAAAGTTGTATTATGGGGAGTAAAGAGTACTTCATCTTACATTTGATACAAATTAATACTTAAATTTGATTTTGTGGTGTTGATCGAGTACACTTTTTAACTTGACGTTAAAAATTGCCAATGTGGTCAATTTAGTCGTTTATTTTTTTACACGTTGGACTCCAACTCAGCAACAGAGCATTCCAGCGATATATCTAGCCCTAATTTGTGTACCTGTGTTCGCATATTCATCCCCAACCTTCTCCTGTGATTTTTATTCTTCACCATCTTCTT